TTAAAAAAATTTCTAACTTGAAAATTATTTTTATATTTTAAAAAATATAAGTTCTTTATAACACAAACATACAAACTAGTTGGTACTACAATTCTTGTTATTATGGAACAATATACATTTTGAAAAATAACCTAATGAAATAAAATATATAAAAGCAAAGCAATATAAAAAATAGTAAAACGTAGAGAATGTGTAAGGATCATATAAAAATTAAGGAGACTTCAATGTAATTCAAACTCAATTATCAAATTTAAATTTAATATTGTTTGCTAGTCTGGTATTAAAGGTAATTATTTTTTGTCCGGTTTGGTTTTTATAAAAAAATAAATATACTAAAAATAAATTTTAAAAAATCAAAACCAGTTTAAATCAACTAGTTTCGGTTCGGTTTTGTTTTAGCTCTGTTTGACACGGTTTTTTCTGGTTTGACTTGGTTTTTCAGGTTTTTACTTGATTTTTTCTAGTTTAGCTCAGTTTTTTTGTTTCGATTTAGTTCGATTTATTTTTTGGATTTTAAGCTTATGAAATCAAATCAGTTAATTTAAAAAAAAAAATTAGTTTTTTTCATTGTTTGATTTTTTCAATTATTATTTTTATTTAATTAGTTTTTAATTTTTTTTATTTACCCTGATCTCATGAGAGGTTATACCTAGCTATTATACTCGTGATTTTTCATTATTATATTTTTCATAAATCATATTAACAGATAATTTGTTTAAAATGGGCTTAAATTATTAATAAGCATTGATGTTGTGATGTGCTCACGGACTCAAGTCTTGCTATTGACACCTTAGTTATTATTATTTTCGTTTTCTTTTCCCTCTATCTCTTTATATTTTTTTAATATTACATTAAGCGTTTAAAATTTTTTTATATAATTTCAAATTATTTACACATGCCCCTATCTCTTTTTTTTTTTAATATTAAGTTTAGAGTTAAAAAGTTTTCATATAATCTTGAATTCATGTAGCAATACACCCACTTTTATATGTTTTCTTGAATTTTTTTTCTTGATTTTTTTTTCAATTTCATCTTCAATATTAATTTTTTGTTGAATTGTTTTTATTGTTTCATTCTAATTTTATTTTTTTAATATTTAGTGAATTTTGTATTTATCTTTATATTTTATCATATAATTAAATAAAAAAATGTTATATATTGAATCCAATAGAATTCATGTCTCAAGTAACGGGTTTGGCAAGTTGACCAATAAATATCTAATATATTGTTTTTTTTTAGTTTTTTTTTAAAATATCATCTTATTTTTTTTTAAATAATTAAATTATGTTTTTATTAGTTATTTAGGTAACTTTTGTTGCTGCATGTCTAGTCTCTCTCTATTTTTTGGTCCTTTGATTTTTCTCTCAATGGGAAAACTCCTACAAGATTCATTATTCACCCATTATACCAAGTTTAATGACAATGCTAGAAAGTTCTCCATGGCTTGATTTTTTTTTGTAAGTTTAAAATATTTATTTTATTAACGTGGATGTCCGGGTCAATTTGCATATATTTTAACTAATTTCACGGACTCTGAAGTTAATAATTATGTACGTCTCCAGTAGGTCTCCAGTAGTTCTGAGAGGACTTGAACTTGTGACTATTAGAAAACAAATATAAAACCTGACCAATTAAACTACATCTTAAAGTTAATTTAAAAGAATTTAATTTGATTAAACCCATAAGGTTAGTTTTAAAAAATTTAATTTGATCAAAACCGTAATGTAGCATGAAAATAAGCTGACATAATCCTAAAACTGTAACATGTAACTAACACAGAAGTGTATTTATTAAGCAATATAATATAAAATATTGAGAATAAGACAATTTTGAATTTAATAGCATCCAACCCAGATTACAATATTCACTATTAGATTTGATTATTTTTTAAAAGAAAATTATGCAAACTGGACTATCAAATCCAATGAAGTTAATTCTAACATACTCTATTTAGTTTGATTACATTAATTAATTAATTAATTAGACCTTGTAGTTTTCAATATAAAATAAAAATAAAACTATATATTTAATCTTCAAGTTTAAAATTCATGCTATTTTTAATTAATATTTATTTTTCATTTGAAAAAATTGAAGAAAGAAAGGAGAAATAGCTAAGATGGGAAACTTTGATTTAGAAATAAGGATTTTTTGGAACAAAAGTTACTTTTGAGGGTAAATGGGAAATGCTTAGTTAAATAGCTATTCAATATTTTTTATACTACAATAACTAACTAATTGATTTATATAAACTACACAGGCTAAGTTATAATTTACTTAAGCACACACATATACGCACTATCTGGTTATGTTAGAAGGGTTAAAAAGATCTGATTATTTAAAAAAAATCATCCTAAAACATTTTATTAAAAAAAAGTTGTTTTGTTAATAGATTTTATAATAAAAATACATAATATGCATAAAAATTAATATTTCTCGCACTAAAAACATATGCTTGTTAATCTAATCCCAAAATCCAATCCTCACTTTTTATTTTTATTGATTTGAGATTTTTGCCTGACTATAAAATCTAATCCTTACTTTCTATTTTTATTATAAGAGCAAGTTTCGAAATAATAATTAACAGAAAGAATTATTTCCTTGTATTATTCAATTTATATTAACTCATCATAAATTATTTATTTAGTAAGCATAATCACCATAAATAACCAATATTCCAACCAAATCACTTAACATAAATGAGCATAATCAAATACAAAAAACAAAAATCATGAACACGTTATGAATTCATTTAAATACACATTAATACCAACATCAAAGTACATTAGCGATTTGAAATTTAATAAAATTCTTTGAACAAGGAAAAAAAAATCATATATAAGAATTAAAATTAACCTTCATGAGTCATTGGAATCAATTGGAACTAGGTCGGAGAGGTTGGAACGAAGGAAACCAGAGCGTCAAAAGTAATATTCTTGGTGTGTGATTGTACAAGTCGACCGATAGATTTTCTTTTGGAGCCTTGTTCCATACATTGTTAGGGTAGGAAGGCATGTGGGCTAGTCAGCAAGCTGCTCAACTCGCGCTTCTTCTTTTTGATGGTGGCGATGCATGTCTCACCTCCACCGGAGATGGGAGATCAGAAGCTGGAAAGTTGTTGTTGTGCTACAGCATTTTCTAGACTATTAGTAGTTTTGAATTTTTGGTGTTTTCTTGTCTTCTTTTGTTTTTTTTCTGTGGTTTTTGTTCTCTTTACGACATCATTTGTTCGGCTAGAGTTTTTTGCAAGAGTCTCTCTTTTGATCTTTGTGTCACTCCCCCTCTCTTATCTGAATGCATGTTATATATATTTTCTGAGATTGTCGGAACTGAAAAAAATAATTTTAGGCATTGTTTCTTACTTGACCATGAATTTCTAATTATTTAAATTTTTTTAAAAAAACTATAGCTAAAAACAATCAACTAAGTACTATAAGGGGAGACTTTTTTATGCTTAGCCATATCTAGAAATGCCTAACCTTTTTTTTTGTTACTTTTCATTATTTTTTATTGAAATTTTAATTAATATCCTCTCTTACTTTTAAAAAAAAATTTAGTTTATTTTTTAAAAATAGTAAATAATATTTTTAACTATTTTTTAACTTTATAAAACTTCTAATAGATTATTGTAATTTTTCTCGAAGTAAAGTTTTAAGGTCAATGAGTCATCCTTCCCACCAAAAATTCTTTCTGAGGATAGATTTGGTTCAAAATTCCTACTGAGGATAGATCCTTCCTGTTTGAGATGATACTTTTCGTCTTGTTCACCAAACATTCCCACCCTAAACTCCATTTGATGTTTAGGTTTCTTAAGTTCGTTTGGAAAGTAGAAAACATTCTTCACTCCAATTGATTCACGAGAATGCCTCAATACAGCCTCACATCAATGCAATTGCATCGCCCCAACACGCAAATCAAAGTAAGATCACTCATACAGAATGCTAATTAGCAAGAAAAAGAGAAAGTGATTTAAGCTCACTACACTACCTAGTAACCCTAAGCAATGGCCAGAGAAAGAGAGGAAGCGAATTGAAAAGGTTCAAGGATATCTCCTGAAGGTTATCCCGAAAATAAAATAAATGGGGCAGCTCCATTATCGTCCTCTCGATAAACAAGCCATGCATGCTCAAAGTTACTTATCGTTAGGTGCTTTTGATATCCTAGAGGCAAAGGCTAGGGATCGGCCCTTAAAAACATCGCAAAGGTTAGTTAGGCCACCTCTTTACACTAGAGCTTGTAAAGAGTGGCCTCACTTCTCAGTCCTATCTCGAAAGTAGGGTCTTAAGTTTCAAGCTGTGCTTCATTTTGATGCCGGTCAATTTTAACCCGCCGTGCATATAATTGGGTAGGTGGAGCTCGGAGCTCCGAGTTGGAAGACGTGCGGACACAAGGATACAGCACAACCTTGTCTTCGATGGTGACAAAGTTGGCATCAAAACCATGGGAAGGCACTGCTTCGTTGCCCCATATCAATCATATTGTACCATATCAGTAGCATGCGAACGAAAACATGTGATCAAGCACAGCATTGTCGTCCACTTGTCAGCTCTTAATTGCACCACGTGTCCCTTATTGTGCCTTGGGTCTCTCCACTAATAATTATGCCAGGGCCAGAAGGGAAGTTATCATGGCAAAAATGGGCATAAGATAGGACCAGCTAATGTGAAGTCAACTCTCACAGTTGCCCTAGCCCGCCAGAAACAGTTTTCAATTTTCACGACTACATTATTAGCATTCCACTGAATGCTAGAAGGGCGATATTAGCCCACCTCACAAATTGTAGTAAATTAACACCTCTGAGATTTATGGCTATAAATTTGGACGGTGTACCAGGGCATGTTTCAGCTTCCTTGTGAGCCCTTCTGGTTCGTTCTGTGACCACAAAAGAAGTCAGGAATCAAAGATGCTCAGTTTGACTCCCTGAAAATACACTGTGCAAAGCCCATGAGCAGTCATTTTAACTTTACTCTTTCATTAGTAAAATTGGCTTAACATTTTTTTTCTTTTGAAACTGAAGTGGATTCCTCTCTCTAAGTCGCTAGTGCATGCAAGGATCTAAGATGTAGCCAGCATGATTTTAAAAATAAGGGCAATTCAAACAGTTTAACTACTGATTAATGTCAAATAATATATTATTACTATTCTCTTCAGGTATATAGTCCAATAGTAAACTTGATGTTTTTTGAAGGTTAAAAAAAAAAAGAGGATTAGGAGAGGCATTGACACTGCTGTAGATTCATTTTTCTGTCACTGGCTTCGAAGAATCCAATGGGATAGACAGATTGAACAGTCACAGGTATGCTGCTCAGTTTAAACGATGTCCCAAGAGACAAATCGAGACTTATCTTCACTAGATATGGAGATTCAACCTTTAGACAGAAGCAAGCAAGTCGGCCTTCAATTCAAACCATCACATTTGTAGCCTGAACATCTATATGATACAGGACAAATCTAAGATATATGTTTGTTTATAGGGTTATGGCTATGGAATAAAGTGATTCAGGGACTTTGAAATTGAAAACAGATACAAGGAAACACTACTTGAGTAAGAACCTAAGCACCACCTTTAGGGTTTACAGAAAAGAGTCCTTTCTACTGGAAATTTACTGAAATTACAAATATGAAGCTGCTTAAATCTCTAGGCTGCATCACTATACCACTTAAATTATGTACTAAATTATATGGCAAGAGGCAAAGTGAGAATCTGTATTTTACTTGTTCCAACTATCAAAGGAAGTAACTGGGAAAGGAAATTGAAGTGACTAATGATAAAAATCTGAATAAATGACTAAGCTGAAATCATAATTTGAGTATGCTTACCTGAATGTTTGTTCCTATAAATAAAAACAGTGAGTGGAAAGTACCCTTTCATTCATGCCTCAACATCTATGAGCACGAAGACAAATCACAAAATAAACTATAACATCAGAATTACAGAGTTAAATATAAATTCCCAGAGAGAGTCCACTATTCAAGATATGACACTGAAGCATCCATGGATAATTTAAAGACTGATAATTGAAAGGTGAACAGAAGACAAAAATTCTTACTTCTTTGTATCCAGTACTACCCACAAACATCTGAAAGACCTCTGCTGCAAAATATACCAACGAGAAGCAGTCAAAAAAGTGGAAGTAAGTGGTTTACCTCTCCTTTACGAGATATAGGAAGCACATCATCTTCAGCTTCAGATTCATAATCCACATTAACTAAATCCTACCACAAAGCGGTGAAACTAAGCCAAATAGAAAAGGCACCTGGTAAGATTCTAATTTAGGCAAAATTGGTGGATTGTCAAAGGAAATACCAGTAAAATCTTAGAGAAAATAGGAGTTATTGTGATTGCATGTTCGTCGAAGACTTTCAGATAGAAAGGGTTCTCATAGAACTATGCAAAATCTTTGCTTGGAAACGCATGAAAACAGCATGAGTGTAATTTCCCACTTTGTCATTGGAGATTCGCCCTGTAGAAAAAGAAAACAGGGCATGTACATGACTGTGTGTAAGCCAAGATGTGCAAGAAATGTATGCCAATGTTCCAGTTTTCCGCATATTGTAATTGAATAGTGAAAAAGGAAGTGACCCAAAGAAACAGCAGCAATTCTACGCTTTTGATATTGGAATGCATACAGATAATCCAGCGTATCTTGTTCATCCTCATCAGACAACCTGCTCTGCTTTGAGCAGACATACGTGTTCCACAACTTTTCTGCACAGAACAATTAAAACCACATATCCAGAGCCTAGTTCCCATGCATCTAAAGACACCCAGAAAGAAAAACCCAGGAATTTAAAGCAAGAACCTCCTTTTCTCCAGAGGGAAGCTCGAGCTCTCAGCTTTAGAACAAACCTTAACCTTCACTGTCCAATTCCTCCTCATATTCAATCCTGAAACTGCATGTATATAAGAAGTTAGCAAAATTTTGAAACGAACCAGGTCGAGGGCTTCTTTAACTCAATGTCAAGAGAAACATGGCGGGAAAGAGTGGTGGGGTTTAG